GTCACACCACTATCTCTTTTCCTCCAGTTCTCCATCCCATCAGGATCCTGGGCATGTGCATGCACTCAGTGATCGCCCAGTGGGACCAGCACTCATATTCCGGTTGACCATGTGGAATCTGGCTTCTTCTGGGCTGTGCCGAACTTATTATTTCTTTTTTGAGAAAGATTTTTGCTATACGACATGTGTGCTTGCTGGAGAGATGGAGAGAGACAGAAAGCAAGAAATCATCTCCAGCGAGATGGCTACACTGCAGTCCCTTCTCTTCCAATCTCCTCTTGGGACTTTGGGCATGCACACACACACATTCCTGGTATGAGTTTCAAACCACTGTGTTCAGGACTCAAACCGCAGTCAACTATGTGAGAGTTCAGCGATGTAACCATTATTCCATTCTCTGATCCAGTCCTTACTATTTTTAACCAGACTTTCTCAGTATTATTAAACTACCTTCATCTCACCACCTGAAATCTTTCTGGATGCTCTTCAATGATTTCCTACCACCTTTACTAGATAATAATGCCCAAGTTCCTTTAAAAGACATGCAAAGCTTACCATGTCTGATTCCTGCTAACCACTCCAGCATCCTTCCTTTCACTTATTGCTAGAGCTTTCCTGGACTCCTTGTGGCTCTTTCATGCCTTTGGTATTACTCCTGCTGTTCTTTTTTTCTGTAAAGTTTCTTTATCCTGTTTGCACCAGTGAAACACTTTCACTGCCCCATCTTCTCCAAGTAGTTTTCCCTTAATTTACAGATCAGTAAACATGTGCCTGGTGCATGTAAGTGACCAATAACTGAATACTGAATTAACAGCTCTGCCATTGTATTCCACTCAGACTAAGTTAATCCCTCCCTGCAATAAGTCATGTCCTTACGTGATTCTCTCTCTTCAAGCTTAGGCAGACCCTGCAACTTGTTTGAGTTAATAGGAAATCTCAAGGTTAAGGTATAATTAAGATCCCAATTTATTTTATTTGGAGTTAATCAAAAGAGAGATTAACCTGTATAGGCCTGACTTATTCAAGGTGAAAATTTGAAACAAAGGCTGAAGTTCTCCTTGAGGAAGGAAACTTTCATACTTTTCTTAAAGAAGCAAACAACCATGGTATGAGCTGCCCACAGAAAGAACCATGTAGCCAGATACAGTGGCAGCTTCTAGGCCTGTAAGGATAGATTCTAGGAAACAGCCAGCAGAAAGCTAGGTCCTTCAATCACAGAGATGCAACGAGATGAATGTAGCCAACCATGAGAATGTGCTTGGAAGTGGAGTCATCTCCTGTCAAACCTCGAGTTAGTACAGGTCGAGTATTCCTTATTTGAAATGCTCGGGACCAGAAGAGTTTCAGTTTTGAGGTTTTGTTTTTTGTTTTTGTTTGTTTTGTTTTGTTTTTTATTTGTATTTGTATATACATACAGAGATATATGGTGGATGGTGAAACCCATATCTAGACATGAGGTTCATTATGTTTCATGTACACTCTATACACATTGCTGAAAGGTAATTTTATACAATATCTTGAAATTTCAGCATTTTGACTGAAACTTGTCATGTGAGGTCATGTGTAGAATTTTCCTCCTATGTGGGACTAGTAGTTAGCATAATGGCTATGTCGCTGGACTCCCATGTAGTCAACGGCAGTTCGCGTCCTGGACCCGGTGGCTTAAAACTCATGCCGGGCATGTGTGCATGTGTGCCCAAGATCCCAAGAGGAGAATGGAGGAGAAGGGGTTGCGGTGTGGCCATCCCCCCTGGGGGGTAATTTCTCGCTTTCTATCTCTCTGTCTCTCTGTCTGGCGAGCGCACGTGCCCTATGGCAAAAACCTCTCCAAAAAAAAAGGAAAGAAAAAGAATTTTCTTCCTATGGTGTCATGTCAGCACTCAAAAAGTTTTAGATTTCAGATTTCAGATTTTTATATTAAGGATACTTCATCTGTATTCAGCTAAGTCTTGGGAGTCTTGACTGCAGCCTTGGGAGACCCAGAGCAGAAGACCCAGATCGTTGATGCCAAATCCCTTAACCCATGGAAAATATGAGATCATAGATGTACATTTTCACCATCTTAGTTTGTGGCAATTCATTATACAATAATAGAAAATTAATAAATCATGGAGACCCATACCTCTAGTCATTGTACTATTTATTATACATCCAGTATTATTGGGCTGTTGAGAAAGTCATGATGCATTTTTACATAGAAAAACACATCATTACTTTCCCAAAGTACTAATACTTTACACCAAGCAGGCACTATCTGAAACACATAAACAAAGCTAACATTACCAGTAATAAGACTTACTGACACTTTATTAACATGTTCTCTAATATTACTCTCTGAGAAGAATGAAATACTGCCTTTGCAGATTCTTGTCCAAGATACATAACTCAATCTAGCTATGAGAAAATAGAAAACAAAAATTGAGATAGGGTACAAAATTACTGGCTAGTATGTCAAGATGAGTCTTAAAACATAAAGAAATACTGACAAATTCTCCTGGAACAAAGAAATCTGGCAACCGAAAGCCATGTAGCATCTTGGACAGAAAAATGACAAGAGGCAAAAATCTAATCTAATAAGAACTTCTAATCTAATCTAATCTAATCAGAACTTCTGAGTGCCCAGTTGTAGTGGTGAAAGCAGTAGGACCACTGCATGATGCTGGAGCCATATGAGAGGCATGGCTTCAGATCTTAGATTAGTATGAACACTCCAGGTGCTCCCATGTATGCCCATAATCCTAGCTGTATCTCTCTCTCTCCCTTTCTATCTCTCTCTAAAGAAATTAAATGATTTTTTAAATCTAATGTTAAGTGAAAATTATCATATCAATATTAATTTTTTTAATTAAATTTGTTTATTTTATATTCCTTCACAGAACATCATCACAACATACAAAATGTGATTTCCCATCTAGAATACGCTGTACAGTAGCTTAATTATGTATGTTATTATCAACAAATAATTGTCCACTTCTTGTTTTGTAAATATATATTATATATATATATATACCCATACATATATATATATATTTCCCCCTATTTCTCACCCTCTGCCATTTCCCACTCTCCTCCCACACTATCTCTGGTATCTACAATTTGCATTTTTCCTTTTATTTTTACCCCACATTTTATTGACTCATAAAATATCTTAATCTAACTACTTTTAATAGCAAGTTGAGCAGATATATACATATCTATGAACACAAGTCTGACTTTAGGCATGAAACTCTGTGGGTAGAATGAACATACTATATAGTACCACCTGGCTGGGGCTATATAGCTTACTGTGGTCATTAAATAGGTATTTTTAAATATTTTTTTAATTTCAAGAAAGGCAGTTTTAGCTTTAATAAATCAAAATTGAAAAATACTAAGAGTACTTTGCTTAAGACTTATAGCCAAGAGTTGTTAGGATTCTTTTCAAATAGTAGGTACATGAAACTATTGGCAACTCAAAAGAAGACTAAAATCCTTAAATCTGGAAAACAAAGCATAGAAGAAAATCAGTAATGCTTTTGTCAGAAGCCATAAAATTCTATTTCTTAATAGAAGAATTCTGCCACATTTATTAATAGGGGTCATTCCTATAAGTCTAAAATTATTTCAAAGTAAAAAAATTAAACAGCTAATAAAGTGAGTCACACACCAAAGTGAAAGCTACCTAAACAGAATCGTCTTTATTAATTTACCAGAAACATTTCTGTGTTGTAAAACCATTATGATACTCCGTTAATCTACATGATATTTGATATTGTTAAATGTAGTATTAATTTGACTGATTTTATAACATTGTACATTAGCCAAACCAAAACCAGCAATCATGATATAAAGTTTAATCCAATGGCTACTTCTGTTCAAAAATTTACAGAAATAAAACTTGCTTACAGAATGATTACTAAGTTAAACCAGTCATTTTCAGTTTACTCTCCACCCTAAAGATGAAAATCTTAGCTCATATAGGTTGCTGTCACAGATTTCAACTCAGTGGTTTATAAACAATGGAACTGAAATTTTCCCACAGTTTTGGAGTCTTGGAAGTTCAAGATCAGAGGACCAGCATAGTTGTTTTCTGCTAAGGGCCACTTTCTGTTTCATGGAGCCTCTGTGCCAAGTTTTTACAGAATGCAAGAGGCAAGGCTTCTTCCTGGGGCCTCTTTTTAAGGCACTAATCCCATTCATGAAATTAGTGAACAATTTAATCACCTCCCAAAAGCCTCAAATATTTACATTGATTTAGGATTTTGTTGTTGTTGTTTTCTGTTGTATACACACCTGCATGCAAAACTTTATTAACTGCCAGTGAAAATTAAAACTTTCCTTGGATCATCTGACAAGTTTTTTTCATCTTAAAATACATTTTCTTCAGTGAAGCCATCTTTAAAGCTAACGAACTCTCACCATATCTGTCGTCATGACTCTGATTTATAATAATATTCCTCTTCTTTTGATCCAGACCCTCATTTTTTAAAAAATATTTTTTAGGTTAAGGAAATATTTTCCCACAGTTCAGTTCTCTGAAAAATTTGTTTTTAAAAAATATTTTTAGGTTAAGGAAATTTCATTTTCCCACAGTTCAGTTCTCTGAAAAATTTCCATCTCCCACTGAAATTCATAGTCCAGGAGCAAAGTAATCACATACTGAAACTTCAGGGACAATTCAAAAGTCATTATGAACACTCAAATTGGTCAGTCTTATTTATCACCACAAACCTGAAAATGCAGAGTCCTGAAAAAGGTGTCCTTTCTGTGCACATGTGTAATTATCATAAAGGAGAGGGCACTATAACGGAAGCTGAGGCTTGATCACCAGAAATCACAATAAAACAAATGATGACAAATAATGAGCACTAGAATTTGAATTACCAGGTGTGTTAAAGACATGAAGAGCCAGTTTTCAACTCCATTTTGAACACCACATTACAAAAGAACTGTTTTAAAAAAACTGTTTTAAAAAAAAAAAAAAGATTGAGGGGAAAAAATAAAAAGAATATCTAAACCATTTAATGACTCCCATTTTGTTCCTGATAAACTTCAATCATACATTCTTCTTCCATTCCCAGTTCTTTTGGAGTATGATTTTTAGCAATTCTCTGACCTTCAAAGAGAAACCTGAATAAATTCATTGGAGCTTTCTGTCTTTGACAGTATGATTTTTTTTTGAGTTTCTTGAGGTGTGTTGTCATTTTCACTTTGAAGTGAATCCCACTGCTTTGCTCACCAATGACTTTGAGTTTAGTGTTTTCTCCTTCCTTATTATCTCTCAAGACCTCAGTTGAGAGTTTTGCTTCCTGATCAGACATGGTGTCTGGGGTTTCACCCAGCAGGGGTCTCTGCACAGTAGCCAGGCTCCTGTATGCAGCACCTCACTAGGGGTTTACAAACCCATCTCCCTGGGGATTAGGTTTCAATTCATGAACTTTGGGGAATTAAAACATTCACGCCATAGCAATGAAATTGGCCTGTCTCATACATATATGTTTTAAGCCAGAGACCTTTCTTAAACTTTACTTTCATGCCCTCATCTATCCTTGTCCAAGAAGAAATGGAGGAGAAAGTAGGAAAAACACAATTAGAATACATTTTAATATAGTGTAAAAAGAAAATATAAATAAATTTAGATGAGGTAAGGTCAAAGAAATAACTACTACACCAGGTAATTCTCAAGGAATGTGTTAATTATAACAGAATTTGAAAGAACTAATTTATTTCCCTCTTTCACATACAGAAATTAAGACTAAACAGTGTAGAAATTATTAAATGTTGTAGTTGAAGTTTAATTCTTGGGTTTCCAGAAATCAAAATATTTCTTTTTTTAAGTTTATTTCTTTTTATTCATGGTAACATGAATGTACACAGTAGATAGACAAAGGGAGAGGGAAACACCCTGACCAAGTCTCATCCCACGGTAATTTCCCTTCCCTAACCCTCTAGCTCATCAGGATCTTGGGCATCAACATGTGCTTGGCCTATTTTCAGGCCAAACCAAGGGTCCAAAATATATGGTTAACCATAGGTTAAACAGTACTGCAGTTCAATTTGCTCCTGGTTGGATCATTAGGCTGGGCTGAGAAGTCAAAATAGTTGTTGTGTTGTTGGGAAAGTTATTGTGTTTTCTATGTAAAAATGTGTTATGACTTTTCTAATGACTTAATATTATTCCTTAATTCTGTTATACTTTAATTATAAATAAATTACATAACATTAATGTTATGTAATTATTATTTAAATTGAGGTAGAACATGTCTTAAATATTTAAACATATTTTGTAGTTACTATCTCAATGAGAGGTCATCATATAAAAGGATAAAAAAATGCTACTACTTTAAGACTAGTTTTTCTGGTTTTACTTCACCATTAGGTTATTTTAATGCAATAGAAATAAGAAAACTTGGGAAACTCTGTATGATGCCTATGGGATTGAGTTGTTTTAAAATTCAAAGATAAAAATGTATGAATTAATTGGAAAAATACAGAGTATTCATTTAGCAAGTATTAGGATTTTTTATATGTTACTATCCAATAATAAATATATAT